TCTGAGTGAAGCGACAAAAGAATCTTCTCTTAGCACTTTGTCCAAATTTTTTTTGTGAATGTTTTCAAAGAAGGAACAGATCAAACTAATTAAATATACAGGAATTACAACGAATCTTCAATACCATAAACATTTTTTTGCATAATTTGACGCTCAAATTCTGTGAGATACAAGAAAAGTTGAGCTTCTTTGGAGCAGAAGCCTTGAAATACGAATCTCTCAGAAGTGCAAGAGTTATGACTCTGGCTACTACGTTCCAGCACTTTTTTAGAAGTTTGTAAAGTTTTTTTTGTTGTGAAAAATTAGACCAATGCAGTCCTACAAAATGGAAATCCATATCAGTAACTTATTTTCATTCAAAACATCACTACCCAACATCGCATCAAATTAAATCTGCGCTCAAAGGAAAACATACACAAGGCAACAGATTAAAAATATAATTTGAAGAGTGAAAAATTCAAACAAAACTCACATTTCTGCACATAAGAACTTCATACACAATGTAGTTTACAAAACTATGTAACATAAATTAACGAAAAGGGAAAATGCGCATTAAAATTGCAAACTAAACTGCCCTTCATCCAAATCACGAACAAGTTTTAACTGATACTGAGCAAGGGTCCCAATTTCAACTGGTACAACAGTAATACGAGTACACCGAATTGGACGAACAGTGGTATCTAGCAACAGATAGCAATAATCGTCACGGTGAATGTCCTCAATGGGGATATCTTCAGCAATACTGCTCAAGAGAAGCCGACTCGTCCCGTCTTCTACTTCCAAAGGTTCGACTGATACAATCCGAGCGAACACACAAGTCCATCCATCCAAACGACAAAGAGCCGATGAGCAATCATCACGATATACCTTCATGTTGATTTTCGTCCAGAAATCCTAATATTTGTGCTCTTACAACGAGAAAAACATACATTCTCTAACTGCATCAAACATTTCGTCCTTCTAACAAAAAATGTGTAATTCTCGCTGACACGATAAAAAGTTCACGAACTGAACACTTACTTGAAACGGTTATTGCACGAACCTCTCCACAGTCTTCACAGGAACCGACGTCGGACGATGGTTAAAAACCAGATGATAAAATAACCGCTTAAGTTGATTCCTGAAAATTGCTTTCTGGTATCAGAAATGTTAAAACCATTAAAATCACTTAAAACCTACAAACACCAGAAAAGGACACGGAACAAATCCTGGTTCCTTTGAAGAAATCGCAACTTGACACATTATTAACATGTAGTGTATTGTTTTGATGAAGAGCCAAGCAAAAATGCATATTTATAACTGTAAAAATTGTTAGAAGTAAACATCATAGGCATTTCTACAAAAAGATTCTACATCTTGTACTGCAGTGTTATACTTCATTTAATAATGGGGCATGAAATGTAAACACTTGATTATGAAGAGTGATTATCACATTATGAACAGGACACCAGGAATTAAGAGTTCGAAAATACTTGAATATCATATCAAGTCTGAATGTATGACATAGGAAGGAAACTCTTAATCAAATAAGAAATTCCCAAGGACCCAATCGGAAGTGTACTTGAAACAGAAATGCGACTCTGCAGTACCTAAATAACTGAAATACAGATTGCTTAAAATACACAAAGTTTTATTCCAGAAAGCATCAGTGAATGAGATCAGTGGATCACAGAATTATTCCTGTCATTTCCACTTATATTACACTATTTTGTTTAAGGATATGGTTCAAGACTGACGAGAACCACGAAAAAAAAAAAACTACACATAAGTGGAAAGATAATTAACCGTAAGTATAGAGAACCATGTACTCCGCTACTGAACAGACTTAAAAAAATCCTAATTAACTATAAATTTTTAGCAAGCTTAATTATAGTCGGAATTTTCTTTTGCAAATGTTGAAGGATATCAGGTTCTATAGACCGAATAATCATCTGCTCCACGGTGAGCGCTGTTTGGGTATAAGAATCAGCAAAATTCTTTTTTGGAGATTTCGTAGACCACCATTTTGCCCTCAGTCCGATATTATTAAACACTGCTTCGTAAAAGACCTGCAAACGCTTAATTGGAAAAACCTTCTGCAATTATATGAACATCTGAAACATGATTTCGTAAAATGATATGGATATTAAATTATTAAGTTGACTAACACAGTTTCAGTTTCTAGGATAACTTCTGTACTAAATTCTCTGTTTGCTCAAATGAAGAATAAAGACCTGCCACATTCTTCGAACAACGTAAGTCAGGAGTGTTGTTTTTACAGTATGCACATAAAAGTTCAATTGAAAAAAAGAAAAACCAACCGTTTGCCCAACTTCAACCACATCAGTTAAGCTTTCGGCAAACAAGTTGCCGTTATTGCCTCCCATCCAAGTCAGAATTGGACACATCACTTTCTCATTGCAATCGTTCATCACGCAGGCCATTAAATGATCTGCCCATACAATTATTCCTTTACCTGGCAGAAGCTTGGCAAAGATAAAATGAAACGTCTTTCAAGTAACATTTGATGTTACAAAGCTCTATAATGGTACAATCATTAATTACTCTTTTATCAAAATGGCCATTAAGTGTGCCGTATTTCCTTCCTCATCATTCCAATAAGGACAGAAGTGTGAAGATGAACAAAACCATAATTTAAGGAATAAAACGCAGTGTACATCTAAATTATTAAAGCAAAGAACCAAATACTTTTCTTTCTGTTAAGATGTCATAACAATTTGTCAGCCTTTTAAAACGTCTCCACAGGATCTTTCCTTATAGGGAGAATTTTAGATTGTAAAGAGACTAAGTACATGAGAAATGATGAGTCAAAATACCTCGTTTTATATGATCATCACAGGAACTTTCATTACCACTATCATTCAGCACAGAAGATGCAGCAGCATTTAAGGCGGTGATTTTGCTGGCATATTCAGCAATCCAATTACAACCACATCTAGGAGCTTGTGAACGAATGCGAACTATGATGCTGTCACCAACAGTCAAATAGCTATCCAATTTTGCTACCTCGGTTTGTTGAAAAGCTGCCCCAGGAATGAAAACCATACCTAGCTCATCATTGCTAGCATATGCATACGTTTCAGTTACTAATGTGATTGTGACAATCTGAAATGATATTGGAAATTTCCTGATAAAATGACAAAACTTGTTCGGCTAATGAAGGTGTTACATCAACCATTTATAAAATCCCTGCTGAATGTTTTTGATCTTACGATTATATGCACAATCAAATATTGAGTGAGGCTCGGAACTTCGAACTATATCGATCTCTAGATACTGATGCATTCGCAATAAAATAAGCTGGATTCTTAAATCCTTCGTCTTAACTGTTACTTATGTTTGACTGTTTTCAGTGAAAGATACCTGTTGGAAATTGCTGATTCCATGACATGGCGCTTGATACACGTCGTTATTTGCTGACGGAGTTACCTGAATCAAACAGTGTCTGCCTATGAGTAAGCAATAGTTTTGCTGGTCATCAAAAACCACTGATAACTAATCTAAAGACATCCAACTGTCTCATTAAAGACCTGAGCGAATAAGTCCCAGGAAACCTAGGAGAAAAACTTGAAAGCACCTTTGTGGCTAGCCACTGACAGTCGTTCTTAACTTGCTGCGGTATCGCTGTGAAATGAACGATATCACCAGCCTTATAAAAAAGAGTTAAATCAGGACTACGACAATTTTTCGGGAGAGCTGAACATGGTGGGACGAACACACTTCCACACTTATCATTTGTTAAATAAGCAAACTTGACATCGACACGAGTTATCTGCCCCGTCGACGAGATCTCTATTTTCCTCTCCATGAAACCCTGCATGAAAGCAACGATGAGATATCTCTGCATATTGTATCAAACGAAGTATCAGAAAGTACCAAACACACCCGAACAGCAACTACTCTAAATTATACACCAAACCCGTGCCCTTGCAGGTTACACATTACTAAATGAAATTAAGGAGTACGCATATGCATATAGCATCTGCTGGTAAGAATATACGCATATATTTGCAACGAAGTTGTATGGAAGCAAACTATAAATTTTATTCATTGAAATTCAGTTGCAAACGAGCACCAAGTAATATTAATTAGAAGAATGGATGTAATGTAATTTACTATTCTTATTAAATTACAAGAAAAATGTCCTGAAATTATGTATATTTCCTCGTCAGTACATTTCACTCTATTTTTAATTCGCTTCACAACAATTCTGAGAACGATTTCAACACGCCTCCTATACAAATTACCATTTTATAGGACAGGAAAACCGCTTATCCGTACAACGAAGTTTTGCTCAAACAAAAACAAAGAAACATGATATAAATAATAATGCAAATTAGAATAACCTTTTGGCATTACAAACAAAAACATGTGTTCTCATTATTTAGCAGATTTTCTACATGTAATCATTAAATCAATTAAACCAGTAAATCCTAACAAGCAAAAAATTACTGTCATGTTGGACAAGTAAATGGGCGTTAAAACCCCAATGATGAAATGTAAAAGAGAAAAATGACTTAATTTTCATATCAATAAAATAATATGAATATAAAGCGATTTTATGAACCGTTCACGGGCAAGTGATAGGCAGGGTACGATGCCGGTATTACATGACGAGCATAATTCCTATTTCCTTTTTAATTTCAATTGCTTTAAGGGAAAAAACCTATTATAAGTAATTGATTTTATAAAATATCGAAATAAATCTAGAGCAAATACCAAAATAATTCTAAAACATCTAGAGCAGACGGTAAATGGAACGGCAAGTACAAAAAAATCACCGGCTCGGTAGCGAACACAGAAAACAACAAGAATCAAAAACTATTTGCATCACATCTTCAAATGTTCGTTTTAACATAATTTAAAAAAGTTTGACAGATATGCTGCAGTTGAAATATAAGACTTCATATACCGTGGACGTAGAAAGGTTAGTTTACAATTCCTAACCATGCCTGGCTCGTGGCTCTTTTACAACGCATCATGCATTGCTTTCTTCACACCTTCTACAATATGATGAAATGCTCGCACAGCATCGCTCTCCATCGGGCAAGAAGCCCTTATTCGATGCATTGCCATTTCAGAAATCCCGTAGTAGTGCACAAATGCAGCAATAACGACACATATGTGAAAGAGCTGATGAGACTGGAACTGAAAATCAGAGCTTTTCTGTTTTAACTCAATTCAAAGGGTAAGTAAACAGCTTATCCCAACAATAACTGATTTTTAATTTCGGTATTAATAGTAAAAACCTTGGAATCTAATTTACGATGCTCGAAAAACATACCAGGATATCACATTTCCCAGGAAAGAAGCGTTCTGGAGTACGCGTAGCATACAACAGAGTGCCAAGAATATATAATGCAGCCATTAATAAGAGCCAGTGAAATGCTGCATCTTCGAACAATGTACGCACACCATCAGTAATCATGAAATGAACTGTTGGTACTACTCCTGAAATCATCTACGCCATGAAAGATTAGTCAGTTCAAAATTGAAAAACATAAAATATATGAAAAATTTTACATTCAGCACGTTTTCTATTTACAATACTGCAAAGTAAGCCATCCCTGTAATTTAACAGTCGCAAAACTGTAATGGAAATATAACGAGAAGTAGATACCACCTTAATTATATAATGACTGCAAATAAGAAATTATAAGCAAGTCAAAATAACAATACGCAGTAGTCACATCTGGCTAGATGATTATGTCATAGACATAGCGCTGTGTTGATCTTCTTGAAACTGTACAAAATATTCAAAATAAATTAAACTACAACAAATTACCACTACATCCCATTGCCAAAAAAACGCCTGCTCTGAGAGGTCGATATCGTGATTCGCTAAATTTATCCCACAGTGAAACAATCACTGCACCCAAACCCAAGACACAAACCATTGCAATATAAGTTATTTTCGGCTCACGCCGACAATAAAAACCGTAATATAGCCAAGGAACGAATGAGCCAATAATCAACAATGATATACCCAAATAATCTAATCTGTAATTAAATATCTGGTGTCGCACAGCACTTTGTCATACTATTAAACACATTCTGTGTATATTGATACAATTACTAAACTTCAGAAAAAATGTAATATCGAGAACATACTTGCAGAAAATCCGGACCACGGCGACTGAATGACAGCTAACGGTATGGAAGGTGAATGACATACCAAGGCAAATAATTGCTCCAGCAAAAAAGAAGGAGAACACAACTTTCTCTTGAAAACGAATGTCAGTATCTGGCCGCGTCATAAACCAAGCGGCCAGCAATGCAAATGCTACACAACCTACAAAAATTTTATTTTATAGATGACCAAATATATCACCCAGTGAAAATATATTCATTTAAGAACACTGCCAAAATCTTAATAATTTTCATCACTAATTTCTTGAAAAAAAATTAACTATAATAATTTTTTTAATTGGAATAACAGTTTTTTTGTAAAGGAGCAACATATTATACTTCGATTCCAGCCAGTATCTTCTGCCGATTCTTTGCATCCCTTTTTGTCATTTGTGAAAATCACTCCATCTAGTGCATAAACGAAACACTAAAAAGCTCTCCGCCTACAAACTCGTCTTTGTCCTCACTTAATTATTTTCACTTCACTCAAACAGCTCGAAAACGCACCAATTAAATGAGTCCAAATATTTCCAGTTTCAGTGTGAATAGATAATATGCTACGAAAACATTGCGCAAAGCTTGGCAAAGGTGGCCGATGTCCGTGCCTCAAATATTCGTTATCTTGAAGCCATTCTGGCAAATATTCGAATTTTTGTACACGCCAAGTAGCCTCCCAGGACTGCAAGTTCAACTAACGTATGTCATTTTTAAATCCCAAAATTGCTCGAATTAAAAAAAGCAATTTAAAACTAAACCAAAAGTATTACCGCTTACAGTTTCAGAATGATCTACTAGTGCCAAACCATAAAGAAAACGTTATGAGTTAGTAGAGAAATATGACGCATTTGCAAGAATATGAGAAAGCAAATAAATAAACAAATAACAAACATAGACTATCAATATTAAGAAAAATAAAAAGAAAAAAGCAAAGATCACACCGAATACATAGTATAAAATATCTTTGTATAAACATTCTCTTAGCAGTGTCAAAATGTGAAATTTCATCATGAGTAATGGAAGCAAGAAAAAAAAATTGTTTGCAGCCAAAAACGTGAAAAGTGATGAACTCTTCACTCGTAATACCTTTTTAACGAAAGGTTCTCCATCGTCATCCTGCCCATACTCTGCTTTTACCTCTACCTAAAATATAAAAGTCAATTTCTGCTCTATATGGATTGAGCAAAAATTTAAATAACTACCGATTAAAGTCGATGCAAAGATGAAGCACAATAAGAAAACTACAGTAGTCAATGTAAAGTAACTTCTAGATACACCCAACTTATTTCTTCCATCAAATTGTAATTTATATCCGTATTTCCTAAAGTATTATTATTACCTCAAAATGTCCATCATCTTCGTCTTTCACACCATCATCTAAGCGCCAATTGTCGCCATGTTTTCGACGATAATGAACATTAGTAGAACGAGGGAGAACTTCATCGGAACTTCCTTCTCCGTTATAGATGTAACTATGAGAAAGAGAACTTGACTTAGTTCGTGACGGTAAAAATGACTCTGAGTCACTTCCTGACAAAGCTCCTTAAAGAAATATAAATTAGACAACTATATCTCCTTAGTGAAGACAATGTAATCAGAACATTCGACAACTTGAAGTTATTGTAAGCATAAGTTCTAGAGATAACTCACCGTCACCTTCGTCATCTGTATTGGGCTGAGAAGTAATCGTACTCCGAGTGACAACAATTTCAATAGGATCTCCGTGTCTTCCGGTTTTCACTACCTTGAAAATCCGAAAGTCTTAAATCTTGGAAAATAAGGGTTTCAAGGTTTTAAGAGATCTAATTCCATGATTAAACAGAAATCCACGAGTCAATAACTTTTATATGGTTGTAAAATATCTTTGAAACTATTTGCCATTTTTTCAAGTAGTTTCTCACATCTTAAAACAGTGGGAAAAAAGTAAGATACCGATTCAAGAAAAATGTATAACTAGAAACTGTACAGCTATGTCTATATCAAAAGCCAACGTGCACATAAAAGATTCATAATGACTGAAATGTAACGAGAGAGAGAGAATTATAAAAGCGGCTGTAAAAATTAATACTTCGACAGTTGTTGATTCTTCCAACAAATGTTCTAGGTGACGTTCACGTGGTTTTCCATCGGTCATTATTTCTTGAGCTTCTTGCAAAGCCTCATTCACATCTAGCAAATGATTTGCGGTCGTTATCCTACTAAATGACAAACTTGCATCGTTCATTTTTTTACCATCCATTATGTAAAGTGTTGTGCTGCCACCTTAAAGTTTTTGAAAATTTATTTAAAATTAAAAATTTAATCGTCGTTAGAATTTTTTAACTCAACACATAGCCAAATTAATGACCAAGAAGGTTCGGCCCACGCTTGTGTCACAATTAAGGCATATGTAAGACGTCCAACGACACTAGAATTAAAGGACTGATCTGCAAGAATGAATGTTCACAACATTAATGCGCTAACTGCAAAGAGCACATCTGATCAAAACATGAAGTTAATATGTCCGATCGTTAGGGTAACAGTCATCGGTGTTACCCTAATCATCACAGAATTCTAAATAACCATTCTTCTAGCCACCAATATTTGCAGTCAAACTCAGTCAGTGGTGGCGCACATCTCGAACAGCTACCAAAAAGAAAAAACTATGTCGACGTTCTATTGGAAGCGGAAAATGTTTGCTGTCAGTGAACAGTAATGAGCAGTACTGTGGAACAGAAGGAACAGGAACTTCTGTTCTATTGATTTCTTTACTTATTTAAAAGGAAATATAGGAGAGAAGAGAAAAAAAATCTGAAAAACAACCTAATTATAACGCCTCCTGCAAGAGATGATAAGGAGAATAAGCCTATATCAGCGTTCACCTGTATCTCAGTGTTACCAGCAAGATGGCACTGAAAGCACAAACAGCTTCCGTGATGATTTTTAATGCAGACAACAAAATTTACTTTAATAAATCTCTTGAACCAGTTGTACGAAGCAAAACACAGAATTTTAAAAGTAAAACCAGAGAAACAGCACTGAAACATACTATCTCCTCCGGATTCTAGACAAAGTCAGTAAAGATACTGCTCCTCAACTCTTTAGCAGTCCCTATTGATATGACAGGGACACAATATGCGCCACCTACAAACCGAATTCACGAATTCTCGGCCACTGTCAATTAACGAAATCTTGAATTAGGACTGATAAGGCGGAAGTGTGCAACATTGATGTGTTGCGTATCACTCTGTCAGAACCCACCATGAAATTAGAAACATATTTTGTTTAAAATAATGAGACTGAGGCAGAAAAGAAGACGACTCGTGACGTGTGACGTGTGAAGGGGAAGAGTGAGAAAAGCTTCTGGGCAGTAGGAGGAAAAGGAAAATTAAAAGCAGTGCTTCATGTAAGTGCAATCATTGATATATATGGTAAAAAGATGTTAATCTTAAAGAGTTATTTTGCTCTCCCTTATCACGTCACGCTACTTTTGTGGTAAAGTTCAAAGTTGGTGCTTGCTGTCTTCTCGACGAGTTTTCTTGTACAAACAGATGAATCAGTGCATCTGTTGATTTCTAATTTCAATTCGGCAATTAATCTCAGTTTTTATTGAAATTGCTTGCTTCAAACCAATGACACTAAGGAAAGTTAAATTATGGAAATTCCTTCACTGCTTCCTATATTTTAAATCACGACTCAAACAATAAATTTTGAAAACTCCTCCCGAATAGTGAAATTGACTGAGTGGACTCAGGGAGACGACGCAAGTGATGCTTAGAAAAAGGATTGTTAACGCGGAGGATGGGTAAAAGAATTAATGTCCTCACTGTTTGCTTATTCGTCCTTGAGGTTTAATAAGCGAGAACCTAAAATGTCCACGTAAAACGTGTTTGGCCTTACAGATAACCAATATTATTAATAATGACATTCGTTTCTCCTTTCATCTTACTCATCATCTCTTTCCTTGCTCCTTCTACATTCTTTGGCTAATTAATCACTTACTGCTAGATTTCAGGGAGATTCTACTCCATATTAAAATTGCACCAGTTTATAATTAGCTTATAACTGTGTTTTGTTTCGGTGATAAATCACTTCGTGCCACAGTGCTTGTTCTATGCAGTTTACCTCACCTTCCCAAAACTGAAGCGCTAATCAAAAAAATGGCATTTTGTTGGAGCAATCAACATTGCACAGTGTGCAATAAACACTCATTACACTGATAGGAATTCCTGAAACTGATGAAATGATGATGGAAGGAAAATGAATTTGCCGAATGTATATCTCAGGGAATCAGATGCTTTTATTTAACCGCAGAATATAAATGTGATATGAAATATACAGAATGTTTTACACTGAAAACTACCTAATAAATGTCACCTCATCTGAAAGACGAATCATGCAACTCTGAGTAACGTAAGGAAATCAGGTCTGATACAATCTCGAAATCTCTCGAAATCCTTTCGGTTTCAGGGAAGGATTTATAGCTGGTTTTTTTTACTCAGAGCAGTGCATCTTTCAATGAGGTGAAAGGGGATTGTCTGGTAAATTCAAAACGAATCAGGAGAGTGACGTAGTATTCTTCAGTGGATAGCTAGAAGGAGTTAACGCTCCAATTGTAGCCATATAAAATTTGAAACTGCCTCTGAAGCTTCCTTGTCCATGAGAAATGGAGCAATCTTGCGCCATCACGCTTAAACTGTGCTTTTAGTTGTTAATTTCACTTTTGCACATCTGAATATTTTCAACTTTTATGCTTGTTCTGCATACAGAATGCATAAAACAATTATGAACACATGATTATTTTATTTTTTGAATGATGACAGCATTGTGGAATCGTCGTTTCTGGTTTTTGTAAGAAGAGAACACGTGGAAAAGATTTTGAGCAACAGTGTAATCATTTCTGTTTCAGGCGAGAGTGACATAATGTTAAACGATTATTGTTCAAATTCAAACAAATACTCAAAAATCACAACAACCGGAAGGAAGAACGAAAAATTTGTTCTGTAAACAAATTTCTCTTTTCATCCCTGTACTGAATTACAAACTTAATAAATATAACTATAATAAGAGTATAAGCTGATAAGTATAAAATGAGTTTAAAAGTTACGAAGTAGACACCCACGCACCATGTATGACATATGTGCATATGAACATTACATTATGTCGCAGTATTTTTGCAGTACTTTCTTTTAAAAAGCATTCGATCATTTTTTCATCTTTCATTGCATTTTGAGTGATTAGCTAGTCAACATAAATGATTTAATTAGTACCGTTTAGTTTTGAAATGGTTTCATTAGAGCTTATCATCGTCAACAGTTCACCTCAACAATCATCGCTCAAGTGAAGCCTCCTGCCTCATTTTGCATTTTGAGCAATAAAAGGGTAGCAAAAGTATTGTTTTGAACATATAAGTTCTACGAATAAAGAGAGTTCCTTTATTTGCTGAAATAAAATGCGAATACAAATTACTTTAGTAAACTGTATTTTGCATATTGTAAGAGTGCTGATTAAAATTTGCGTCTTGAAGTATTCTGTATGTGATATTTGTTTTACCAAATAAATAGCATCAGTCGTTATGTATCATTTCGCTGTGAAATTTCCATTACAGTTAATGTGCTTTAACTAAAATATAAGAGTCTGAAATGGTCATTATCAGTGATATTTCGATAATATCTAGAAAGAAGTACTCAGCACCGATGTTGTAGAGAATATGTTGAAACTTTTCCAGCTTTTTCACTGGTGAATTGTCAGGAATTTTGCTGCTTACGAAGAACTGAAAGAAAACGACCAGCAGCAGTACAGACACAGTTGTCAACTTCTAGCTTCTTTCTGTTTCAATGTTACCTTGCTTAGGACATTGGTCATTTGCATTATCTTTGCTATCGAAACATTAGTCTTGAATTTAATCTGCTCACTTTCAGGTTTACCACTTCGTTTGCCTCCCAAAATCGTCCGAGATAAGAATTGGATTAGAGAAGCGAAGATGATTTATTTAACAGCTTCCTAATAATCTTTTATGACACTTCTTCCATTCAATATGAAGAATACTACCTGGAGAGAGGTCTCTAATATGCAATGTTTCGTCCTGAATGTGGGATGTTCTAGAAGTAGACTAGACGGTCCATTCCGAGAGGTCAAAGCAAGTAGCTTCTAAACACATGTATTGTCGAATCGCTATTTCATGAATGTTTCATGCATGAGTCGCCATTGTAACGACTGTCTACCCTTCCATTATGCGTTACCGCAGGTATCAAAAGAATTGGAATACTACCTGTCGAGCATGCAGTTTGGTAACATCTAGAAAAAGCAGAAGGGTAATTAACTCATACCTAGTTAAAAACAAAATGAAAAGGGTTCGGCACTGTATGTGTGCAAATATTAGAAGTAGTGCGGATGATGGAAGGGAAGTAGACGTACCGCCTGAGGCCTTGTATGTGTGTGTCTGTATCTGTTTATTTATGTGTATGTATGTATGTATGTATGTGTGTGTGTGTGTGTGTGCGTGTGTGTGTGTGTGTCCGTGTGTGTGTGTATGTATTTGTGTGTGTGGCGGAATGCTTATGTCACATTGGGTGGAGGTGAGTGTGACATTGAACAGTGCCGTAGAAAGAATTTGCATCTGCAGGCGCAGAAGCAGGAGCAGCAGGGACCAGAACAGTATCGATCGTGGCTGTATGTAGTGGTCTGGTTGTTGTACCTCTAACCTACGCTTACTTGAGTGAACCATCCATCCATCATTGTGCCTCCCGGCGACAACTACAAATCACAACTGTAGCTGCTGGTCGAGCATTCCAAGCACACTGAATTAAAACTTCTTCCACTGTACCTCCATTTTTTCAGTTTTTGTATTTGTCAATCCGATGTTGAGGCCTGCTTGCATTCTCTTGTATCACTCTACCGTTCATCATCTTATCATCTTTTTTAAGACGTAATTTCGTTGGCGCACATCGTTTTTTTTTTCTATTATAATCCTTCCATCATGTTCTTCAATTTAATATGTTATCCAAAGGTCGAAATAAAATAGGCCAGGTGCTCAAGGGAAGGTATAACTTTCGGAGCATGATACGGGAACCAACAAGCAAAAGGATTTCTTTCGAAAAACTAAACCTTGCAGATTCACAGACGTCCCCAACCGAAATGTTGTATATCGGCGTCTATCTATGTGATATATATGTATACATCTGTTTTACAAATGAATTTTTATCCGTTTTCCTAGACCGGGGTTCACGATGGATTTTAGAGGTTAAAAATTTATAAAGTGGGAAGGATTACAAAATTTATTACAAAATGAAGATTTAGTCTCCAATATTTTTGGGAACCCATTCAATGGTTGGATAAAACTCAATGGGTGGTTTGGATCCTGAATGTGGAACAATTAGGACTCCAATCATAGGTGATTTTTTGCAGTTTTAATGTTTGTATGACTGAGAATACCAAAATAATGCTAAAGTGACAAAATGTGGAATAAAATGTGCGATAAAGTTAGTGTTTTTTTTTCTATGATAAACTGTACAAAATTCAGGCTAAGCCCTTGAATGAGATAAACCAACGGTGAGCTTGATCCTTTCGTTAATGTCAAGTCTGCGTAATTTCTGGTATTCATTTTGATGTGCGTCACAGTCGATTTGTGTCTTCGAGCAAAGTAGATGCTGGTTCGCTACACCTACCTAAGCAGTACTTATAAGAATTCTAAAAATCATTCTAGAGACATATTTAATAACTATTTATATGACAAAAGCATTGATGGTTAGAAAACTGGATTCAGATAAGCATAAGTTTTGTCAGTCAAGCAATCGCTCTCTTCGCAGGAGGTGAACTGAGTTGAAAATTATATTTGTATGAAGGGATTAGCAAGCAATTGTACGAACAGTGATATTCTTATATGTCATGGTATCCTGCCAGCTTGAGGAAGTGATGGAACTTTTGAATGAGGCAGATTTACAATTTGACCTGGACTGGTCATTTCATCAAATTTATCGAATTATTTGTGATTAATGTGACTGGTCTATTGTAGTTTGATGGGACGGTATGTCTGTGTTTGTGAATAATGTAAATTGAACTGTGAGCCCCAAGGGTGTTTCTTCACATCAGATTGCATGCGTCCTCCTACCCTCCTGCTTAATGTCGCTGCTGTCGTTGCATCAGGACGCAAGCAATTAGCAAATGTGCAGAAAACACTTATCCATCTTTCTGATATTCTCTCCTGTCCTAACCGTTTAGATATCATTCCAGGCTGGATAATGAACAGAATCCAGAGACGTTTCTCCATTCAACAGTAATAACAGAATGTTTTTCTACACAGGCAGAATTTTTCCTAAATTTATCACCTAAAAGCGAGAATCATGACATTGCTATTTGTCAGTTCAGATTATTTTTCTCGTGCTAAGCTCCGAAAATATGTGGGGACAGATTAAAATAAGACCTAAAGGTTAGTAAGTAACCCAACTTAATACACCTGCTGATTTACGTGGACCAACACAAATTCTTCCATATTTTTGTTCATTTTCTACCGCCTTCACTTCTTTTTCCATTTCATTTCTACCGGATTAAACTTCTTCCTCTTCCTGATTTCATTCTTTTATTCTTTTTTTTGTCGTATTTGCTTCGAAATGGAACAGAAAATACATGAAAATTCGTAGCAAGAAATCATCTTGTTTGAAATTTATATGCAAGTAGAATAAAAGTGTTCTTCATCAGATCATGAGAGATCAGGCTAGACTGACCCTATAATAGCTATATCTAACACATAGTAGCTTCTCAGTAATACTGAGTTTCTCTTTGTACTGAAACTCCTGCAATTCTTATTTTTACATGCTCATCGTCCTGACTTCTACGGTCTCAAGCGGAACTTTTATTTACGTATTTTTGTGGTTTCTTTTTTATTTGTTTGTTCTTCATCGTTCAGATCTTCACTTGGAAATAAATCAGTTAGTCCTGGCTTCACACGACACACCCAAAGCATCTATCTTGCAAAAATAGGTTGGTGGTTTATTACATCATTCCATTATCATAAAACATTTGTGAAGGAGCGATGAAGACGATTGGTTCGTAGTGCTCGCACCACGTTTACCCTATCAGGTTAAAATTTTCCTGTGTTCTCAAAGAGTAACCCCTTGCTCACATATATCTATGATACCAGGTCATTGTATTGCCCTCTTACTTTCATATTAGCCGATTCCATTATCATAATTGAATTCTTTGCCTCTTTCCGGATTTTGAGAAAAATAGTATCCTTTCTGATCATCCCGGCGATCAATTGATATACTTTTTTTTAAGTCCAGTCTTGTCCTTTTGGGCAAGATCAGTAATATTAGCTATTTCCAAACTTTTATCTGAAATGTTTCAAATGTTTCCGTCGTGAAGATGTGGGACGGATGTTTTTTTTTTTTTTTCAGTCGATATGACATCATCCTGTTTCTGCTTTACTCCTAATATATCATTATATCAAAAGTTATATATTCATCTGGGTCGATAATTTCTTTTTGTTAATCACTAACATTGCTCTATTGTTATCAGTAGCTTGTTAACATAACATCTGACTATTTTAACTCATTGCTACAGTTTTTAATCTCTTGATTCTGCACCTAACCTGCACTGCCGAATTCAGGGGTTCGCTCTCTCGAAATTCTTATTTTAATATCGATTATGTATCGTCCATTTGCTCCAGTAGATTGCATTTTTCATCCTCTCCTGCAGATTGGATATGATTGTATTTAAACATTTTCAGTGAATTGCATCTGTGTTAAATTTCTGCATGCATGTAACAGTAATCAAAATCTTGCTCATCTTGATGTATTTCATTTCTTTATGATGAACGACTACAGTTAGTATTGCCTTTTCATCCAGATAATATCCTTTTATCATACGGAAGAATGCTTGAATCAAATATTTTGTAACGAATATGTTATTGTGACCTACAACCTTATTTTCCAAGCATTATATAATGATTTTCAGAGTAGGCTCTAGATATATTGAAGCGACAATGCTTCCATCTTCTCGAAAGCAAGCCAGCGGGATAACCTTGTTTGGTCGACAGACTGCGGGTACACAGATTGATCGAATTGGAACGCTGTTGCTTGAAAAGAAAAGTCTGGAAAGGAAGCGACCTAATAATGCACAAGTTGATGATGATAGTGATTCAGTGATCTGCTCGAAACGCGCAAGAACGGTTAAAGAAGCATTGTTTTTGTTGCCAGTTTTATCTACCCAGAATAACTGTGAAAGTGTAAAGGATGAGAGCAATCTGATACCACTTGATAGAAGCACGAATTGCAATTTTGGCCAGGTTGGAATTATTTTGCTTAATTTTTTGTTTCTTTGATATATGCTTAGGATAAACAGGGCTCTCTAGTTATCTACACGTTTCCCACTCTTCGTTTTAAAACATTCTACTTTTATGTGATGATTATCAAGGTGATGTTTTGTAATTGGACATGCCTAAAATTTGTCGGAAATTGTTGTTTTCTCGATTAAACTTTGTTCAAATTAGCGGTCTCTGTCCACGAAATGTATTGCCTTAGACGTATGGGGTTTACTTGAACAGCGGGAAAGTGTGACGACCTCTGTACCTGTAATACATAAGAGAAATATTATAAAATTTAGTAGGAAGTTTTCTTGTAAACAACAAAGGTTCTTTCAAGGAAGACAGTGCTTATTATTAATGCTAAATTACATACATTTTTACGTAAGGTGGTAGTTTCTATACTTAAATATATTAATTTGCGAGTTAGTATGTTTTCATTGGATTATTACAGAGTAGTCCTGCAGCGCTCAGTTCGAATGATTCAACTGCTGAAGAATACAATGAAGATTTTGTCGATTCTGGTAATGATAATCTTTTCCATGAGCGGTTTTTTTTTTTAAATATTGCATTGCAAATGTTTTGGCAATTCAAGTAGGCCAAATACGAGGTAGGTGGAGAGAGTTCAAGTTTAACAAAGACATCTTTCTAGAATTCTCATTTAAAATGAAATATCGATTATAAGGCTTTTTCAACACTCCATAAGGAAAGTTTGTTTGCCTATACAACAAGAATCGGCATGACAGAGGACAATCAAATAACCTTAGGTAGGTATTTTTATGACAGAAATGGGACACTGGAAGTGGCGCCATAACGGTATTTATGTTACTTCCATATATTTTTCGACATTGAAAAGCATCGAAAAGCATAAGTAAAAGAATGAACCGACAATTCTGCGAATTTCGATTTGTTCGTTTAGGTTCAATATCTAGCTCGCCAGTTTTACTGACGAATGTTTCGCCTTCAACATCAACACAAACATTCTGCTCGGTACCTGGGAGGTTGTCATTGCTATGTGCGTCCAGCAAATACAAAGTTAGCGTTGCGGAGGTTTGTTTGTTGGACCTTATAATTAAATTGATAGTCACTTCTGTGCTCTTTAATGAATAATACGACCGTACTTTGATCAACAAAAAATAATCATGCATAAAAACTTTTGGTGTCTTCACTATGCGACCCACAGCTGATGCAAAAAAGGAGAGGAAATTGTGTAGTGAGAAAGCTCTCCGTGCATTGGCAAATGTAAATCTTGTACAACAATATGTGCACAACTTTCTCGAAAAGTCTTGAAAATTTTTTGTTCCCGCACATTCATTTTCAAAAATATTTGTTCACTGGAAAACAGTATCCTTTCTTCCCACAAAGTTTTGAAAGTTTCCGTCCTCTTTAACTCCTTCGTGGTCTCATCCCCATTTGGTGGTAATTTTTACAACATTACTTTGTAATGATTAAGCATGAAACAACGTCACACTCAACAACATCATTCATGGAGTAGTTAATAATAAAAATTTAAATAAAACCCAAATAATAGGATTATGTTATCGACGGAATTTCAAACATCCTACTAGCCTTTAACGCACTCCAGTAGACCGAGCAGAAGTTGATTCGTACCACTCTCTCAATAACTGCTTTTTACCGTTTAATCATTGTCTGTCCGAAAACTGTCCAGAAAACTGGATGCATAATAGATCACAAATAAACGTTTTTAAATCGCTGTTTTTACAATCGTCCCAGATGCAGGCACCTTTCGAACCAAACTGTGTTTTTATTTGGCACACCGATATATACAAAGATCAGTTGGGAAGGCCAAAATCGTCCGATCACTTCTCTATCGTTTTTACTGCCGTTAGAATACTGAAACATCATGTCACTCAACTATTTTAGTCCCAGATCTTATTGAACTACTTACCACATATATCACACACTTGCCTGAGGTCGCTGCCGGATAATTGTGGTCCCTTTCTCTCACTTTATGTTTGTGCCACGTTTCTCCTTATCATGCAGCATTCAGATATAATATTGGTACCGGCTAAAATTTTTTGTGGGTACAAGAAAACTATTTCGGGAAAGGATTTCGAGAAAAATCTATTTCGAGAAGGAAACGATACATTTTTAAATCTTTTACCAGTTTATTACAATCATTCCATTAATTTTTTCATATTTTTCCAGTTAGCTCGGAGGCTTTCGCCGCCAGAATCACTGAATGCATCGTTATTAGGCGGAATATTGAGGAGGTTGGTTTCAGGATTTCATGCCTTCCTTCCCTTAAATTGATAAATTTTGGTTTCTTTATTCTATACGTATTGAGATTGTTGATGACGATATTTAGTTGCTTTTTACTTTTCTAGACAAGTTGTGTATAACTCTACTGCTGTCTCGATATTTCACGAATGATATTTCTTTGTAACTTTTGTTTACATATGTTTTTATAGAACGATGTTTTTTGAACTACTTTAGTGTTTCAGAGCTAAGTCAAAAAATGGTGGACAAACGTTGCGTGATCAATTAGAACGTATTGGCTTAGAATTGCCTGCAGGACGAAGGAAGTCAACAAATGTAACTTTGTTGACATCTTTGGTGGAAGGTACGTGAATTTCTGGTCCATACTTGCCTTCCAAAATAATGTGCAAAGAATATGGAAGTTATAAATACTGTTCGTACTTTAATTTCTGTTAAAGGAGTAGAAGTAAACTTCAAATAATAATTGTAGGAGAAGCACAACATCTTGCGAAGGATTTCGCAAATGCATGTCTAACTGAATTTCCCGCAAAATCGATTGCTCAGTGCAGACTGAAAAAATGCGATACAATGTCTGTTATAGAACTGGAAAAAGAAAAGGAAAAATTTCGAGCAGCAAAGTTTATATTTTCATTTCTTCAATTTTATCAAAACATAGAACTGTGCGACTTTTGATTTTGGTGTTAATATTTTAATTCAGGCAGTTGCTTTCTGGTTTTATGGATATGTTACGGCAAGACAACACTGTCTTATTATCGGACAAAAGGGATAATAATATGCAGAGCTCCATGGAAAGGTTCTCCCTGATAACTCACACTTTTGGCACACCGGCAATCTTGGCAGGTAAGTTTTTCTTGAAGTTATGTTTGATTTTACTAAAAGTCTTATTAACCAAACACATGAATTTTTTCATTTAGGAATTGTGACAGATGCTTGCATTACAATGGGAGAGTTGATTTAGAATACGTTTGTTTACAGTTCTTTTTAGCTTTTATAGTGGACTAAACTTCGGAAAGACAATGGGCTTAATTGGTAAGTGTTTTAGCTAAACGTAGATCAGCAGGAAATTTCTGAAAAAGCACTAACCATTCGAAGTCGATTTCGAAGATGTTGAAGATTCGAAGTCGATGTGCTTTTGGTCTACAAAGGCATTTACATTTACTTTTGTTGAGCATACCGTTAAAAATTCCTTGATATAGCTTCATTTGATACTTTTCTGTTCACTGGTCATTAATGCCTTCCATCGAGGTCATGCCTTGATCCTGTGTTGAATATTTATAGGGTTATCAACATTTCTGATGTATGTACAAGAATCATTGGATATATTGTCGCGTCAGAGCATAGTAACTGGGTTTCCAGTGGATAACTTTCTTGACTCAAGTGTTTTTTGTCCACAGCAGATCAGTGGCGTACATTTGGATGATGGGATAAAAAAAATTTGATAATCGGAAGTAGACAATAAATTTTATTTAATGAGTACGCTTATCATAGCTTTTATTCAGTTTACACCAACAGTGTTGTACAGTCTTCCTTTGTATTCATTATTATCTCGCAAATCTTTCTCATTTCCTTCTTTATATATTACGCGGTTCTTTTTTTTCGTTTTTTGTTTTGTTTTTCATCTTTGACAAATGTGGAAATATTGTTCGTTATTGGCTCTTTCAGTTTGTCTAGGGGAATTTTTCCATATTGATTTACAATGCTCTCTAATATTATTTATTTTGTTCTTAATGCTATTTGTGATGTTAAGTTTGGACATAGTTTTATAATGTTTATATGAACGATTCACTTTCCTCACAGTTATTCATATCGTTCCAACCCTTCACTTATTTGCAATTATTTGCGACTTTTTTTTTTGGTTTTGGCTTTTGAACACCAGTGCTGTCAATTATACTGTTATGCTATGAATTGAATGCTCAGTTTTTATTCTTTGTTTTCCATATTTCACAGGTTTTCCATTTTATTATATAGTTTTTGCTTTAACTTCTCGAAACGTGTATTTGAGTTGTTACTTTTACATGTCATTGTTTGGTGACGTACTTCTGAATTTCCATAGCAGATGCTTTTTTCCTGGTTTAATTTCTAAAAATTTATCTTGCTGAAATCTTTCAAATTAAGTTATCAGTTATTCAGTAATTTGGGAAAGTTAACTTTAAACGGTGTTCTGGTTGTGTTCTAGTACTGACTAAATTCAGGGTATTTAGAAGAGATAAAATATTTTAAGTATGCTTGTTTCAAACGTTGTTCTCAGCATTAACCTTTGACTAAAATACAGCAGTATTCTAGATCAGTCGGTTAATGTTGTATTGTCAGTTTTCAAGATATGCCAGTATGGTAATCCAATCCGTTCAGATATAAATGTGTAAGAAAGGCTGAAATATGTTAACGATGGACATCCAGTCTCGGATGGATCTGAATTTCTCAATTGAAAACTTCTGGAAACTTTTGTTTATAGATGATGTCGTTGAAGAGTACGAGAATATTTTTATAGATAGATCTGAGTATATCAGGTCGGAAATCCTATAGATATATATATGTAATGCATTTTAATCTAGAATTCGTATGCATCAACATTTCTGTGATGAGATCAGCAGCAAGAAGGATCAAAGGGAACATCTCAGTGATGTTACAAAATGACGAATGACTATGGTAAATCTCAAAAACAACATTATCTCAGTAAAGATCCTGCATTCTCCTCCGAATTTAATCATATCGGTGATTATTTAATGCAGTAAAAGGTAAGTGATCAATATGATAAGATGACTGCTAAGATAAAAGCAATTCTATGTTTTGCTCTCGATTACTCCATTGGCATGACGTATATTTTGTTTTTTCTGTCATTCATGTCCAGCTATATATATTTGTGCCTTTCTCCAATTCTCAGTTTTTAACAGTACTCCTCTTTTTTGCTTTTTTTATTGAATGAGGTTCGAATTTTTTCAATCAGCGTACCGTATGGTCCTGACCCACAAAATAATAGCTACCAAAAATTATAGTAAAATCATATATTTGCAGATGACATTTTTCGTTTTTAACAGTACATATTGTACAATTTATATTACCTAATTCCGATAATCCATTCTTAAAAACACGACCACAGGTAATCCAACTTGTTTTATTATAAATTCTTATTTAAGCATTAAGCAGTCGTTTAACACAAATCTAGTATTATTACATTTAATATTAATACCATTTAAAAATTAGTATTTTATGTAATCTCTAGCTTTAATGCTAACCTAAAGTATTATTAAAGCACTCCTCACTTATATACTTGTGCACCACAGTCATAAACTTGAAGAGCAATTTTTATTATGCTTTCAGTCAAATATAGCTACTAATGAAAGAACAGACGGGGCAATATAGGACGTTAAGTTTTTATAACTATAGTTTTGTCATAGTTGATAGATTCGAATTTATGATGTCAGTACATTTTGCGCACCAATAATGAGCATTTCATATCTATAATGACAACTTAGATTGCGTTTGTAAGGCGCGATGCATTTTTTTGTTACATGGATAAGATATAGAACTTTCTTGACTTCTACTGCCGCTCCTACAGTTTTTCTTGCTATCGAAGATAAGTACCACTCTAATTATGTGTCTATAAGAAACTATATCCTGATAAATTTTAAGTGCTGGTGATATATTGAGCATTGAGCTAGTTGTATCCTTTCTCTCCTCCTAACGCTTCATCCTTTATGTATTTCTAACTTTCTAACTCGATGGCGTAAAGTATATTCTATGATCACTTTAAAAAAGAAATGAGGGGGAGCGAAAAATGGACATTTTTGCTTGCGAGTAAATCCTCTCCTCAGAAGTAGCCACTCTAATGTCGTTACGGAAATGCTGCATATGCGACATAGAACTACTAATTTCAAAAATCTTGGTACTGTACGCCAGACATAATTTAAATGTCGTAGTGCGACATCAAAAAGAATGACTCTTGTTGTCCTAAAAAGAAAACCAGAATCGGATATAATTACCGTCAAGCCATAGTCACCTGCTTTACTTTTGGGAAGGTATTTATAGCAAGTGTGAAAAAATTGCTGAATGAACCTAAAAACAACAGAATCTGTGGAAGATTTCATTAAAGGACCAATACGTTTTTCCTTCCACATATTATATACAATTCATTTTGTTATCCAAAATGTTAAATTACTTCAAGCACCGAATTTCATCGCCGTGGATGAGATGTTGTAGTTGGCAGTGCTATGACAGGTTGGTGTGCTGTTTCAGAAGAGGAAATCACACCGTCTTATTGCTTCAATGAACTTAAGGAGGACACCCTTTCCATTATTTGCATTCCTTTATACCCCGGGTTTCCGCGCACGAGCAATATATTTGATTTTATTAGATCGCTATCGCTGGAAAATTCATGCTGAAGTTGTTAACTTGACTACCAAACTGAGGTCACAAAAGATAACACCATTAAATCGGTACCTTCCCAATTCCTTTTTACATTTATTATCCCAAAAATTATTTTATTTATGGAACTTTAAAAATGATTAATTTGTGCAGCTGAACCAAATTTGGAAGTATAAGAAATGAGAAGTCTTCAATAGTCGAAAATGTTAGTACTCGAAGTGAAGAGGGTAAGAAAATTTGGTCTTTATTGGGTCCTCGATATTCTAAATTTATCTTCCAACCGCCTCTTTTGTTATAAGCGCCATTTAGTCGTAATGAACTCTGAGAGTTAAAGATGCTTCAATTATCTCACTCCACTGATTTTAAACCATAAATAATGCACATGTACATAATCTTTTATGTTATGGCACTAAACATATCATCGATAATTCATTTCGCAATCATTTTCCACTAAATAACGAAAAACTTCCTGAAACTTTCTATAATTCCCTTGAAAATATCAATCGTTGAGAAAAAAGAAATAGCCCTTTAAAGTTTTGTCGTTGCTTTTCATCATTAATTAGTAAGTAATAATACATTTTATGAAAACTTAGCTTAGTAATGAACAACTAATTTAGTGTTATAAGCCTTAAGCATTATTTCATCTAAATTCAGTTATTGACAACTTAACTGATAGACGATTAAACAGAATCATTTGGCAATCTATTCAAATCTCTTTTGGTTAAGAATTTGTAACAGTGTTTATCAGTCAATGTTAGGAGATTAATGACTTATATAGACGGCGAGATGAGTATGCGTTATCCTTGTAAGATCATCAGTAATTATAAAAAATTGATTTTTCAAAAATGAGGCCTCACAGTTGCCAATTTGAAAAACGACAGGTCTGAATGGAATGACAAAAGAATCTTCTCTTAGCACTTTGTCCAAATTTTTTTATGAATGTTTTCAAAGAAGGAACAGATTAAACTAATTAGCAATACGGGAATTGCAACGAATCTTGTCAGAACTTATTCGTATCAGCTACTGATAATTTGACTGATAGACGATTAAACAGGATGAGTTTATCATAAAATTTGATGAATTTGTCAATGAATTTTTTTACGATGAGTTTTTTTTGAATGATGAATTTATCAAGCATGAAGTATGCAATCAGATAAGAATGAAATTATTCAAAAAGAAAATTGAATGGCTTCAAGCTCAGTTTCGAATTTATATTGTCATAAAGAATTCGTAACAGCTGATAGGTTATACTGTGAGGAACAACCATGATTTAAAGAAAAGTATATTTTTTGACTGCAGTTTATGTCATATAACAAAATCTTACCACTCTTCACTGCTTAATACCCCCGTTTGGACAAAACTATCAGATAGAATCCTCATTACACTTCTTAGCTTACATTGTTCCTAACTTTTATTTTTTAACAAGGTGAAAGTGGAAGGTATGAAAGTACTATCAATTTCATACATCTTTCTCATATAAAAATATTTTGTCTTGCACATTCAAATTTTTTGAAAATACGCAAAATCAGACATCTAACAATTTTAAAGAATTCGACAATTTAAAACTTCGAACGGAACTTATTTTCAAAGCCATTCTGGATCCTTCCTTTATCATTCTTCAATAATCTCATTGCTACTTTTTCTTGTCAGCCAATCGGTGTGCTTAAAATAATCGTCCAACCTATTTGAACCTATTGGTTACATATGCTGATTATAATGAAGAGTGACTTAAGACGGCAGTCATTCATTTAAAAATTATTGTGGACTTGTCAAAGGACGTTCAAGAAGAAAGATCTCCTCTCATCCCTCCCATTTTCGTGCATGCAAAGATTCTTTTCACGAACACGAGAAGCATTCCTCCAACAATACTTCTCACTGATACAGGTTCGTCTTTTGTTGATTAGTCGATTCCCACCCATTATTTTTTAAGTAATTCCTTCCTATATTTGAATTTTTCTTATGTAAAACCAAGGGAAAAAAAATCGAATGCGTGCAAAAAATTCATTAAAATTATTGGTTTTGCAGACATTGCTTGTTGCAGAAGTCGATGTACAAGTCGTCCGATATACGATTGCACGTGCAGGGTGAGATATGATGTAAAACTATCTATTAAGTTTTTATGACGTTCTTTGCATGCATGCATCTATCCTTTTTCACCCAAGTCTTTTAATGCTGTTGAAGAGGCCACGCATAATGCTACTAGAAAAGGATGAATCAACGCTGTATTTTTACGCGTATTTCCTCACAAAAATTTCCTCAGTTAAATATATTTATTGTTCCTTATACCACTTATTGCACTCAAATGACATGCGGTGAAATCACGGGTTAGATCGAATGAAATATTGTAATCTTACTATAAAAGGTCATTAAATGCACTGGTGAATCCAACTTGCAGTTAGCTGCATTAGTAGAGGAAAAAAAATGTGCTGCATTGAACGATCAGATTGAACGATTGGAATGAGCGATGAATACATGTTGATATTTCTTGTAGCTGTTAATTAAATCTCCAATTTAAAATTTGTATAAACGGATCATTTATAAAATCAGATTTTACTAGAAAACATGGGATACGGGCAAGATATGAGTATCATGTTAAGCTTAACTAACGAGATTCGTTTTGTATTGAATATTTACTGGAAACTTCACAAATTTGGAAGTATTGTTAAATTCTGATGAGCTTCGAACTAGAGAACACAGGACATGTGAACCAATTCATCTGATTACAAAGATCGCTGCTATAAATGAAGTGGGGAATTGCTTCTATTTCTATGTGGATGTTTATATTATGCAGAAATTCCAGAATTATCACAGCTTATGAGGAAAGGACATTGCATAAATACACAACTGCCTTGCATCCTCATCAGCCGATCACTCTGCTCTTCATACACTTTCCTTATTCATCCTGTTGCAATCCAGTTCTTTCACCAGATCTCGACTCTCCGCCAGGTATACAAGCATTACAGCCTCTCATTCTAGATTTACTATAAGTATCATAAGAATGTTTCACATGGTATTCTGCCTAATTAGGTATTTGTTCGATGTTATTGTCATTCCATTTAAAAAAGTATGTTTTAAATACGATTAGTGAGTACTGCTAATCATTCCATTGATATGAAATATCTGGTATACTCAGGTAAACAAATCATTTCCCACGAAGGATGTCCGTATTTGTTCCGCCTACACTGAACGCTGATCAGGAAGAGGGGCGGCTGTCTCGCATGCTTTGTCGTCCTACAAAACGAAAGTACAGCGCTGTACGTATCGTAAACACTGTTTCAACTGGTCAGTTCACTATAATACTAATTATTGATTAAAGCCATTATCTGCCTGACCAGGAAAGTCCAAATTGACAGATCGAGTAAACAGGATCACTATAGAAGACTCAGTCATGATTCTCACATTCCTCGCAGGTGTTATACGTAAGAATCTATTTGTCAACGCCATATACGAATACCTGCTGAACGCACATATGCAAATATAAATAAATAAATATATGTATGTATATAATATATATATAT